TTTGATAGCAGTGTTCCCCATAATATTCTGGAAAATCCTGCAACCTCCTCAACCTTGGCGATTCTTGTTACAATAGCCCCAGATGTGATATTTCCTTCATTTATCTCCTACCGTTCAACAAACACTTGTGAAGCAACATTTAGCCTTAGGTGGAAATAAAATATTCTCTTAAAAATGACATAATTTAAAATAATCACCCAATTTGCAACATTTTAAAATATTTAATATTATAGCCTGCTATGTCACAATGGCCAGGGGCAAACCAACAATATGAGCATCCAGAAGAGAAACTACTGAAGCTGTAGCTACTTTAGGATGGAATCCACATGCTAGACTTGGTTGTCAGATTCATCAAATGCCTCATTTCTAGTACAGTGAATGGCACATTATTGATGACCAATAAATATCTTTTCGGTGACTAAATGAAGCCAGGAATCTTGCTTGTTTGATTCACAGTTTTACACCCAGCCCTCAGACAAGTGCCTAGCAATAACAATATTTAAATATTGGTGGGATGAACAAATGAATAACTACTTTCACTTAGTTATTCTGCAACCACTGTTGCTGTGTCTGCGTCTGAACTTGATGTACACGTTATATTGTCACCCAAGAAGTCAGGCTTTATATTGCTTCAAGCCAATGCAGATAACTTTTGCAACCGAGTGTAAAGTCCATGAATTTTATCTGAATGAGCTTTCCTTCATACTTCTAATAAACATTCACTGAATGAACAAAGGCATGAATGAAGACTTGCAACGAAAGTGGACAACGTATATCAACGTATCCATAAATAAAACGCAAGATACTGTGGAAGAACACCCCAATTCCTCTGTTGCAGTAAGAAACACTTTTCTTTCTGCCTTCAACTTGGGATATTTTAGCTCATAGTACCTACATGAGGACGTTACCTTATAGAATGCCTATGCAACTGGACCAGTACCTCTGATTAATTTTTAATATAATTTTTATGAGTTTTCTTAGTTTTAAGCACAATCCAGGTGGGGTGTGTAAATTTAAAACAGACCAAAAATGGTCTTTCAGAAATGGAAACTAAATTTAATCTGAAATCAATATTTATGAAGTTCTGATTAATTGACTGATAATCCAATGATTACAAACCATCTGAAACATCTACTCAAATTTATTAGGTTTAACCAAAAAAAATTAAAAAATAATCTAAACTGGGTCAATGAGAGAATAATGCATTTCTAATCAATTTTTAATAGCACTTAAGATTTTATTTTTTTAAACTTGCTTTTAAATTATTTATCATTAAAATGAGTCTGATTTAAACAAGGGGTAAAAGGTGTTCCAGGGCTATTTGATGGTTTTCATAGCAAAGAAATTCAATTATGACTGACTTTTTATTACTGGACTACTTTATTAATAATAATACATCTTGCACTTGCACAAAGGCATTGAGCCAACAACCTCAGCGAGTCCTCAAGTGTGAGCTAAAAGTTAGCTCTAATTCTTCCATTATCTGTTGTGTTGCCATTTCCAAGCCTCAATTTCTTCATCTGCGAGAGACTAGGCCTTCATAACAACCTCTAAGAGTCTTTCGGCTTCTACAGGCTTGTAATTCTAAGGATTCGGGGGCCGTAATTTATTTCCCAGTACCATTTGTCGCTGGACTGCTCTGGTCACAGGGTCCCTTGGAAGATTCTAAGAATATATTGTGTAGGTCAGCAAGACATCTCAGCAGCAAAGCCGCTTGGCATCAGGCATGATGACTCCCATTCCATCCACAGAACCCACGTGGAAGAAGGAAAGAGAGAAAAAGCAGAAAAAGGCTGCTCTCTGACCTCACACACACTTGAACATGTACAAATAAATATTTTCATTTATTTTTTTAGAATTTTTTTTAAAGAATATATTGAACCACACAGTTCAGTTAGCTATAACAGAGTCTTTTTCCATTGGCAATTCCTGTAAGATTGTTGGATATATTAAGATTGGTTGTCTGAAAACCTTAGACTGTCCCTCTCTATTCTTATAACGCAACACTGAAATTTTTTCTGCATTAAATTCTTCTGTCTGGAAAAAAAGAATATATTGAACCAAAAAAAAATCTATCTTAATTAAAAATAAAGAAAGAAGGAGAAATTGAAAATAAGTATTCCGTGAGACGTGGAATCTTGTCTTTGGAGACAGCGTCTTTTAGCAATCTGTGCCAACCTATCTAAAATATAATTTGTCAAAAATGGGAAATGCTCTTTGCAGAGTAGAGAGAAGAGAGTGGCCTGGAACCCTATGGACCTAGAGAGTCCTAGTCAACCACTGTCCATAGCGATATGGCGCTATTATGTTGATGTAGATTTGTGCCTACGTGTGTGTGTGTGTATATATATATGCATGCTGGGTACAAAGCATTAAGTGAACAAAGCTGCTCCGAGACAACATTAGGCAATTTGTTCTTATTCACACAGCAACATACACATTAAAGTGCTTGTGAGGGCATATCCTAGAGTGTTAAGAGTGTCAGAGAGGTGCATTGAAAATGTCGGTGAACTTTCACTTACTATGGTGTGCATCTTAAATTGTTTAATTTTCTTAAAATGAACCTTAGTATTTTTATAATTCTGAATATATATTCATATATGTGTGTGTGTATAAATATAGGGTTTTTTTATAAGTGCCCAGAAAAACATTGTTTAAAATGAAATGGCTTGGACTTAGAAAAAGGCTGCTTATTGGTAAAAGATACATTATTATTATAGAAAAGATACATTATTATTATAGAATAATCATCTAGTACCATACACTTGAAGAATTAAATGTTGTTCTTAAACTCAAGAAACATTGAGACTAGACTTGGTTGTGCATGCCTTTAGTCTTAGCACTTAGGAAGTTGAGGCAGGGGGATCTCTATGAGTTTCAGGCTAGTCCAGTGTACTGAGTGAAGTACAGTTAGTGTACTGAGTGAAAGTCAGTTAAGGTTACATAGTAAGATGTTCTCTAAATAAAAAAAAAGGAAAAAATAACAAACAAAACATCATAATTTGTTAAGGTAGTAAACATTTAATCTACTACAATAGAATTAAGCCAGTACAGGCATAGCTATATGGAGATAACTGTGACAATAATAGCAATATAGGAAGAGATGTTGGAAATAGTTAGATTTTGTTACTCTAATTAAAACAGCCTTTATTTGTACAATTTATCTTTGAGACTAGGTATTGACATGAATCATCAAAATAAGTGGCTTTCAACTTGTTGATCTCCACCCCTTTGAGCTCAAATGACCCTTTCATAGGGGTCACCTAAACCATCAGAAAACACAGATATTTATATTATGATTCATAATATAAATAAGTGTAGCAAACTTACACTTATGAAATAGCAACCAATCTTTATGGATGGAGAACACCACAACATGAGGTATTAAAGGGTCACAGCATTAGGAAGGTGGAGAACCACTGATCAAAATAATCTATAAGGTGTGCACTAGCCAGGTACGAAGTGGAACTCTTTTGGAATGGAAGTGTCTTTTACACTGCTGTCCCTTGCTGTAGTATTCTCAGGGATAGGTGTCACTGGCAGGTCATCCTCACTCCTCTGTCCCACTCAGAAGTTGTAGAAGGAGACCCTGAAACGTGAGACTTTCTCATTCTAATCCCGGGCTTCAGCCAAGAAACATACATTTTTCTAGGCTTGTGAATTCTAGACTTGGAATAAATATGACTTTGCTTTCAAAAAACCATAAGGTTTTAGAAGCAGATTATTCTCATGCTAGGCATTCTGAAGAAGTGCCCACTATGCAGGAAGTCAGTATGGCTCGTTTGCCCAGTTCTCCAGTTCCAAGCTGACCATAGACATTGAGCTGATTGGGACATACTCACTGCCAGGAGCGAGCAAGTTTTGAACTGGACTTGGGCTTCTCCAGTTGCCAACTTTTCCAGTCATATGGCTGCCTGGTTATTTTAGAGCCATGATGATTGGCCTCCACCTTCATTTCACACAACACACACAGAAAAAGGCACAAAGGTGTAAATGTTTAACAGGCTGCCTGAGGCCATGACCTAGGAAGTTGTCCAAGGCAGGGATGTCTTCTTCAGTTTCTTTTGCAAAAAGATCAGCAAAAGGCATTTCACTTGTTTCTAAATTTTCAACGCACACAGAACATTTGTTTCCATCTTTTGCCACATTAGCTCTTTCTCATTTGCGCCACGTTGCAGTTAAATCCCAAATCTCACAAGTAAGATTCACTTGGGAACATTTAGATTTTCTTTTCTTTGTGGATGTTGGGGATGCTAATTTGTAACCTTGCAAATTATCTCGTGGAGTTCTACAGCACAAGCGGTACCCTTCATATCCTACTCGTACCTAAAATGAAGTCGCTAAAATGCCTTGTGCGAAATTACGCCTTGCCTTGCACTGTTTGAAGTTTCCTCACTTAGAGTGAATCAGAGCCCTGGCTAGAATCCATAAGCTTCCTGACTAGGAAAGCACAGAAGGGCTAGTGAAAGTTTGTCTCTTCAAGGAAATCTGAGATTGGATTTACCCAGGTCTTTCTGGATAGTTCTGGATGAAGATAACCATTGCTTTCAAGTCAGTTATCTGTGCCTTCTGGAAGCGTGCTGTAAGAATAAAGACGAAACTGAGAGGGGAGAGTTGTTTTGAAAATATTAAATAAATAGGTTACGTCTTTTCTCGGTATTGAGTGCTCCGTTTTATCAAGACTTGTAGCTTAACTCCCCACCCCTATTCGACTCTTTGAGGAAAGTTGTGGAGATTGAAACACTATAGCTTTCTCTATTTCCTGCACAAATTAATTACACTTTCCTTTAAATTTTCAAGAGCCTCGAAACCTCTAGTAAACCGTCTTCCTTCCCATTCCCGGAAATTTTTTTTTAAGCTCCTGACCCAGGCACCTATTTTAAATCTGTCCTTAATAATAGTTATTATTCAGTAAGGGAAGGAAAAAACAACGGGGCGACTGCGCCTCTCAGAAGCGCGTTTCCGTCCCCTCGCCCGGCTCGCTATGGCCCTGCCAGGCCGCCGTAGCCGGCCTCGCGCGTTCCCAGCGTGGCGAAGAGCTGCTGTCGGCGGGACTTCCGTGTTGGCGGGATTCTGAACGCTGCCATGGCTCAGACCGTGCAGAACGTTACATTGTCCCTCACTCTGCCCATCACGTGCCACATTTGCTTGGGGAAGGTAATGGGTACGGCTAAGGAGACGGGGTTGAGGACCCGATGGCCGCGGGAGGCGAACGAGGCCCCTCTGCTGGGCGGGGACGGGGACGGGGCGTGAGGCGCCGGGATGCGAGGGAAGGCTGACCTGCGAGCTGCTCGGCGGCGGGAGGCCGGTCCTAGGGGACGCGGGGGGACGCGGATCGCTGGGCTCCACTGGCGCCTCTCGGAGCCCGGGGCTGGGCGGCCTGGGCGGCCTGGGCGGCCTCAGCCGGCCTGCGAAGAGTGGGTTGGAGTCTCGGCGCCGCAGCCTCCATCCTCCTCTGCAGCCGGTGCAGCGAACAGCGCTCTGAACAGCAGGCTCACCCGAGGGAGTCCCCGATCTCCCGTCCGTCACCCAGTGTGATTGTTCTGGGAGCCACGGTTCATTTTTAAAGGCCTTCCCCTTTTCTATCCTCGTCTGGAGGGTGGCTTTTGCCTGGTGTTCAGATGGCACCTGGCCCCCACTCCTTTCTGTGCTGTTGAGAATGAGAAGCGTGGTCCTAACTGCCGAGATTGGGATCAGTCACAAGACGCAAGGGATGCTCGTGGGTTCGTGAAAGTACGTGGAGAAAGTAGTTTGGTATTAGAAACGGAGTTTTGAATGTTCTCATGCCTTCGTATTTCCTTTCGTTTCCGTTTGTGCTTTCGTTTCGGTTCTTTTTTCTTTCTTTCTTTTTTTTTTTTAAGCGTACCTTTACCGCGTGGTTCAAGAACGGCAAAGAACTAGAACCCCCATTCTTTTCCACCCTGCACTGCTTTTTTTGTAGGTAGTGTGTGCAGGAGAATGTGGGCTGCAGTTTACAGTCTCAGGCTTAACAGGGAGAAAAGAAATGAGTGCCAGCCAATAAGATGGCTTGTCTTTAGGTGTTGGAGCTTCAGCGTAGATTTGCCGATTCAATAAATAAAAGCAAGTTAGGATTGAAAGCAACTGCTGACCCTAGACAGAGTCAGAGAAAATGGCCAGTAAAAGAGCACATGGACTGTGAGAAAGAATGGCTTGCTTGATCTCTTTGGCAAGCAGAAGGATGAATGGCTTGATCTGGCCAGCTGATAAATCTGAACTTTATTTCTTCATACCCATAGATTCCATCAGTGCCAGCTCTTGCTTCTTTCAAACATACATCTTTTTTTTCCCTTATTCTTTTTTACTTCTAGATTATCGTTTATTAACCTTGCTCCAGGGTGGAAGAGCTTTTTAATATTTGAATTGAGTACAACTCAGGCTTTGTCAGTTACAATCTATACTGTTGTTTCCTTATGTCTGCTTCCACAGCTGAATATGTATTTAATTTTACCAACCCCATTAACTTGTTGGAAGGATTTGTGTGGTCCTCAGTGGAGTGGAGATAGATTTTTGGTCCCCAGGAACATTTATGAATATGTAATTTCTTTTGATTGCTCCCAGGGGCAAGCCAATGGCATCTGATTGGTGGATTCAAGAGCTGCTGCTAGCTAAATTTCCTATGATATACAACACAAAAATTCTTCAGTTTAGAAAAAGGTTGATGGTGCCCCAAATGAGAAGCCCCTACCTGAACCAATATATAATTCCTAGTCAGTAAGCCCCAGATAGTAGGGCTTTAAACATGACTTTAAACATGAGTTTAAAACTTTAAACATGACTCCTCCCTAATACATTTGCTGTTTTAAGAAGAGGATTTAGGGGGCAGACAGGGGGCGAAATAAAAATTATGAAAAAAAAAAAAAGAGGATTTGAGGTCAGGCCGTGGTGGTGCATGCCTTTAATCCCAGCACTCATTAAGCAGAGGCAGGTGAATCTCTGAGTTTGAGGCCAGCCAGGTCTACAAGAGCTAGTTCCAGGACAGGCTCCAAAACTACACAGAGAAACGTTTTCTTAAAAAAAAAAAAAAAAAAAAGGATTTGGTCATACAAATACAAGAGATAAAATGATATAATAGAAGCACAAGCTGAGTGTAGTGGCACATGCTTACATGCTTTTAATCTGACTAGGAAGGCAGAGACAGGTAGATCCTGAATTGAATACCAGCCTGGTCTACAGTTCGAGGACAGCCAGGGCTACACAGAGAACTCCTGTATTTAAAAAAGAAAGAAAGAAAGAAAAAACACAGAAAGGACGGAGACAGATTATAGAGTTAATCTTTGCACCAAAGCCTGCCCCTTTCTGTTCATTCAGTGTCCAGAGCACACTATTACACTTTACTCTTTCTCTTCCTATTCTACACCAACATTATCTTAAGATGCTTCATCCTGCGGCATACATGCTCTGAAGAGTTGAGGATTTCATGATCCAGCCTTTTAGTTTTTAAGGGCACTGTTTTATTGCCAGAGATCTCATATGAGAGGAAACTGATTGTGAAGACTAATGACCTGGGCGAATTATGAATGGTTTCTGTATCTTAGAACTTTAAACTTTTTCCTGTTTGGGTATTTTGTATAGTGGGATCCGGGTAGAGGAACATGGGTTGACAAAAACTGAAGGAGTACTAAATTCTTTGCATTTTACTACTTGAGCACAGTCAAATAAAAACATTTACTTTTAAGCTAGTATTTATATTAGTTACTTGTTGATGCTGTGATAAAAACACCAGAAACAAAAGTGACAACAGTATATATCTCTCTCTTGGTGAACCACTTCCTGTATGTAGTTCTCCGTGGCAGATGTCTTATGGCTTGGACATCTCCAGTATCTTGGGTTCTTCACCCACAATGGATTCTCGGGGCTTCTAGCCCTCTCAACTTCTCTGCTGTGTGTTCCCTGGCCTCAGTGGCTCTCAGAAACCATAGAGGAAGAATTCACGACTCTCACTCTTACATCATTTGTGCTTCCAAAGGCAGTGCTACTTAGAAGACACCACCAAGTTTAACTGCCATCTTTGGATGGACCCTTCACCTTGTTAGCAACAACTTTTGTATGTTTTTCTATGAGCAAGCCACCCCTTAGGCTTTCTCCCTTGCTATGTTGGAAGCTTGGCCTCATACAGTCCTGCCCTCAGAGGTTAAGGCCTCCCCTTAGTGGCGATCTCTGCAACAGTTGCAGCCTCACTTTCAGCAAGAGCCTTGACTGGAACTTTTTTCTTATTTTTTAAAAATTTTTATTACTATTATTATTTTTGTAATCCTGCCTGACCACTTTCCCCTCCCTCCTCTCTTCCCAGTCTCTAGCCCCATCCACTCCTCCATTCCTATTCAGAAAAGGGCAGACCTTCCCTGGGTACCAACAAAGCATGGCATAAAAAGTTGCAGTAAGCCTAGGCACCTCTCCTTGTATTAAGGCTGGACAAGGCAATCCAAGTATGAAAAATAGGATCCTAAAAGCCAGCAAGAGAGTCAGAGACAGCCCCTGCTCCCACTGTTAGGAGTCCCACAAGAAGACAAAGCTTGTTCCTTTTCATTGTAGAATTGTATAAGTTATTAGTATTAACCATACCACAGACTCATTGTTATGCTATCTTGAAATTTCCTCTGTCAAGGAAATTCTTTTTTAATTTTCTTGGGCAGGTTCTTAGGGCATGGGAGGAAGACAGCTATAGCTTTGCCAAGATATCACAGAGATGCTCATAGCCCAGCTACTAGTAGTGGCCTTGTTCTCTGAAATCTTTCAGCCAGCCCTCCCCAGCCCTCTCCTCACATTACTGTCATCACTAATATCTTCTAGGCTCATATTAGGGAGGCCCTTGAATCTTTGCTTATAGCATTCTACTATTTTAAAAGCCCAAGTTCCAGTCTTCTATATTTTTTCCAAAAGAGAAAAAAGTCAGGTTCTTCACAGCAATACCCTGTGTCTCCTGGTACCAACTTCGTATCACTTTTTGCTGCTGTGCTAATGCACCATGAACAAAAATGACCTGTGCAAGAAAGAGTTTATTTGGACTTAGAGTTCCAGAAGGAGAGTCCATAGTGGCAGAAGAGGCATGACAGCAGGTGGCCTGATTAGGATGCTAAGAGATCACATACTCAACAACAAACAGGAAGCAAAGAGAGTGAACAGTAAGTGGGGCAAGACTAAACTCTCAGAACCAGCCTCCAGTGATAGATTCCCTCTACCCCTTCAAAGTTCCATAACCTCCCTAAACACAGTGCCAATACCCAGGGATCAGGTGTCAAGTTACATGAACCTTGGGGGGCATTTCTCTGTCAGACCACCACGGCATCCCAAATTTTATATATGCATGCATGTTTGTACATGTGTGTGTATAATTATATTTCTCCATTTTCCTGTTGACTCTTTTCTCCCCAAATAGCCCCTCCTGCTTTTGTGCCACATGTATTATATAATCTCGCTTCCCTATTAAGATCTTTCTCCCTCTTTTCATGGTCCCTTTTCTATTTTCATGACCTAGACAGACATAAATTTAAGTCTGGATATCACACATGAATAAACACATTTGATATTTGATGTTTACTTCTTTCTCCTAGCATAGATGGAACTGGACAGTTCCATCCATTTTCTTACAGGACCTGACTTCATTTTTGTACATGTATCCTATTTATTCGTTCATCTGTTGATGGACATCTGAATTGGTTCCATATTTTAACTCTTATGATTATTATTGCAGCAATAAATGTGGATGTGCAAGTATCTGTGTAGTGTGTTGATTTACAATCCTTCCATATGTACTCAGAAATGATATATCTGTATCACAAGTAGTTCTAATATTAGTTTTTTGAGGAGCCTACACAGGTACTTCTCTAGTGTCTTTTTCAGTTTATGTTTGCACCAGCAGTATATAAGTGTGTAAGGGTTATCCCTAGCATTTGTTGTATTTGTTCTCTTAGTGAATGCCGTTCTGATAATGATGGATTCTTGGGCCCATTTTGATTTTCATTTTCTTGTTGGCTGAGAACATAGAACACTTTCAAATATATATTGGCCATTTTTTTATTTAAGAACTGTCATGTCAGTTCATTAACTCCTTCACTGATCGGATAATTTGGCTTTTGGTGTTTTGTTTTTACAATTCTTTATGTATGTGTGATTAATGTCTATCTGATGTATAGCTG